TGTTGTTTGGCGGGTCCGGGCTGGGGATTCGAACCCGCCACCTTAGGTGTACGTGGCTGGCGCCTTAGCCGGTTGAGCTATAGGTGCCGAGCCGAGGAGTTTAATCATTTAAGACATTTTTAAATTTAGAAATAGCTTTTATGTTTTCATGGTATAAAGATGATCTTAGACTAGCAGCCCCTAAAATAGAATAAAGAATTCTTTACCTAAAGCAGAGTAGAGAAGAGGGAGAATGTGTAGGCTGGAGTAGATGAGGGAAGAAGCTACGTAGATGGAGGAACTCTGGAGGCAGAGGCCTAGAGATAGGAGACTCCAGTGTGGCTGCACAGAGAGGAGCTGACTGGAAGGAGGAAGCATTTGAAAGGTGAGGAGGGGCAAATCAGGAAAAGCTTGCAGGTTTTTGTAAGGAACATAGATTTAACTGGAAGAGCAGCTTTCTTTTTGGTAAAACCTGGATCGGGGCTATGCCTCTGTGGCACAATGGGCTTCATAATATTTCATCCTTGAGCTAGAGGACATTCCCTTGGCACAGGAACACTGGATGTCCCTGAGAGTTTCCACAGGGTTAGGGCCCACCTTTCTGACCTTCTGTGAGCCCTCATCTGCAAACTGAGAGCTCAGAAAAGATAGAACTGAGCAGTTCTTGCCTCATAGTATATGTTCATTATAAATAGTTGTTAAGTGCATGAAATAAGAGAGGTTAAAGCCATGATTGATACCCTGTTTATTTCTGATAAATAGCCTATGGTTTTAATAGCACCTAAGTTTTTTTTTTTGGCCAGGGCTGGGTTTAAACTCACCACCTCCAGCATATGGGGCTGGTGCCCTACCCTTTTGAGCCATAGGCGCCACCTAGATACCTGTTTATTTCTAAAAATAATTTTAGTAGCTAGTAGCTTTGAATTAAAAAACACAAACAGGCTAGAAATCTTGGGGGGAAATGTGCTCTTTGGATGGAGTACAAACACTTTCTGGGGGGTTTAAAACAATACTTGCCCAAGAACAGATGAAAAATTCAGCACTATATTGTTAGTTTCTTACAATGTTTCACACTAGTCTTTTGCTAGTGGTACATTCCTATAAGGATAATGTAGTAATTCAATTGAGAAATTATATTGAGTTGAAGTCTTTTTATAGTCATTTTAAGGAGCTGGTTCAAAGTCATTTAAATGCAAATTTTCAAATGATCCTTGGAAAGATAAACTGATTGGCGTGTTACTGATTTTTTTTTTTTTTTTAAAACACTGTGGGTAGAATTTGCCTGTGTTTAACTTGGGCTTGAAAAGAGTGTTTTAAGCTTGTACGCAGTTTTGCCCATTGTGTGGGTTGAGTTATTTAGCAATTTTTAGGAAAATGATCGCACTTCAACTGATGCACAGGAACCCAAACAGCCCAATTTTAGGAACAGACTCAGGTGCAGACTTGATTTACTGTCTTTGCTGCCTTTTGCAACAAAAGACCTACATTCTTCCAAGTAGGCAGCAACCACGTTCTTCCTGATTTTACTAGCCATAGTCCTGTTGGCACACATATTAATGTTGCTAAAGTAGCTGTGGTGGAATGCATCCAAGCAAACACCAGACAAGAAGAAAATACAAAACAGTAGTTTCCTGGATTTTATTTAATGTAATTTTATGTGGACTCTTCTGAAGTCCGTAGAGTGCGTGATGTCACAGCTCACAGCAACCTCAAACTCTTGGGTGTAATTAATTCTCTTGCCTCAGCCTCCCAAGTAGCTGGGACTACATGCGCTTGCCACAATGCCCGGCTAGTTTCTTGTTGCAGTTGTCGTTGTTTAGCAGGCCCAGGCCGGGTTCAAACCCACCAGTCTCAGTGTATGTGGCTGGCACCATAACCACTGTGCTAAGATGCCAATCCCTGGCACCAGTTTTTTGCTTGTTCCATGAGTTAGCTTTCTTAACCACTGAGTTACATTAAAGGTTAGTTAAAAAATATAAGAACAGGCTCTGCGCCTGTGACTCAAGTGGCTAAGGCACCAGCCACATACCTCTAAGGTGGC